TGGATTAACAAAAGCAAAAAAAAAAAAACCCACACACACACACACACACACAAACACAAAATAGAAACAAGTTTGCTATAATGGGTGTAGGCTTTAGTTGCCTTGAAAATTCTCTCCCTGGGCAGTCTCTGCTTCCTGTGAACCTGGAGCTCCTGGGAACCAGATGCTTTACTTGCTGGCCCGCCCTGGCCAGTTGAGGAGGTCTTGGCTGAGCGGTATGCTCTCTTGCCCTTGGCCTTCCAGAATAGATGCCTATGCTGGGGGCTGGGGACTGGACTTGACTTGCAGTTGCATTTTGTTTGGCCTGCCCTTTAAAAAATATATGTATTTTTTACATTATCACCAATTTTTACAAATTGGGAGATTTCACTTAAAACTTTAGATTTTGCATTTACTTGAACAAATGAATAGATCAGGCGACACTGTACCCTCACTGTCTCAGTGACAGCAATCAGCTGGGGGCCCCATGGGGCTGGCCTGTTTTTTCCAATTTGCTACAGTCCCTACTATTTCCTACTGCACTCTAATAGCCAGGCCAAGTGCGCTTGCTGTTCTTGGGCATGAGCAGCTGATTTCTTACACACCTGCATGGTTTCTATTGGGACTTGAATCTATGTTTGTATTAGGTTCTCCAGAGAAACAGAACCAATAGAGGTTATATCTATCGATGCATATATAATTATACAGATATGTATAGATAGATATACATAAATGATAAATATAACACAGCAGTCCCCTCTGCAAGTTGGAAACCCAGGAAAGCCATTGATGTGATTCAGTCTGAGTCTGAAGGACTCAGAACCAGGGAAGCTGATTGTGTAAATCCTAGTTCCAGAGCAAGGAAGATGAGATGTCACAGCTTAATCAATGAGGCAAGAAAAAGGGGGCGAGCCGGGCCGGTGTGGCTCAATGGGCTGAGCGTGGACCCATGAACCAGGGGGTCACGGTTCAATTCCGGGCGAGGGCACACGCCCGGGTGCCCGGCTTGATCCCCAATGACTAACCCATTCCCCAGATGAAAGCGGATTGCTGTAAGTCAGGCTAGCCTCGTTCCCGCGAGCGCTCAAACCACAGCTCGGAGGCAGAGGACCAGCCCAGCTCCCCGGGGGCCGTGCGGGGCTGTCC